AGAAATTATGAATAAAAGAAGACATTGTTTGATACATAGAGTATAAACTGTAAACTTAACTGTATAAACTCGTAAATTAGAAATAGTTCGACAACCCCATTTATATGTTTCTTTTGTAACCAGCTGTATGCTGATGAGATGCTTGGACACAACCATGAGATTACATGATTTTGAAGTTTTTGGTTACTCTTTTTAACTTTAGCCTTAAATGTTTTTTGTTTTCTTTCCACAGAGGATGTCATGGAGAGAATAATGGATGATAAGTAAGTTTGAACATATGATATTCAGTCTCTAAAATTCAGCCATTGGTATTATTCCTTAGATATTGTCATTCTCATGAATTTTGAGCCCTTTATTATTATATTGATTTTGTGTTTATCCAACTTTTTTATGATTTGACACTTTTATATTTTGTCATTAGGACAGCTACAGAATGTCGGCGTCTTGTTGGTCACTCTGGCCCTGTGTTTGCTGTCAGTATAAATCATGATAATATGTATTTATTATCAAGTTCTGAAGACAAGACCATCAGACTCTGGAGTCTTTTTACATTYACTACACTTGTCTGTTACAAAGGGCACAATTATCCTGTGTGGGATGTTCAATTCTGGTAAATATGTCATCTTACTTTGAGGAAGTTTAGCTTCTTTGTACGAGTTACTCATTACTCTATTCTTGGGTTTTCCCGCATAAAAGAAGGACTAAACTTTAGTAATTATCTAATAAAACAAAAGCACTCTTCCATCTCTTCCGTCACTCTAAATCACTATGTTCCCACTTATTTTGATGTTGATATGTTGTCAATGTTATTGTTTTTTCAGTCCACGTGGTCATTATTTTGCATCTGCATCATATGACCGTACAGCTCGTTTATGGTCAACAGATTTTCAGCAGCCATTGAGGATATTTGCAGGTCATGTATCTGATGTCAATGTAAGTTGAGCTCTATGCCGTCAATGATAGAGATTATCATTTTATTATTTTTATTATAGATCATTATAATTGTATTTACAAAACAATGGCATGTGCTTTTAGAAAGTAGTCTCACCAGTCTTTTTTTTGGTTGATGTCTAGCTGCATGTTAAATATTCTCAAATTTGAACCTTATTTCCAACCCCTTTTATTTATGATACTAAATATGTTAATTGTAGAAACCTAAGTTGGTATTGTTATCCTTATGTTTAGAAAGTTGTATTCCATCCCAATTGTAATTACCTGGCTACAGGGTCTAGTGACCGTACTGTTCGTCTGTGGGATGTACAGACAGGGACATCTGTAAGGCTATTCACAGGACACAAGGTAAATCTATTGAACTTGTATGATGTCATTGTCGTAACCGTCTGGAAATGCTCAAGAGACAAACTCAATATAATGCTCAAGAGACAAAGTTGCTATGAAAGGCAAAACATAACATCTACATTTATTATGAACATTTAGTTTTCTTATTTTAAAAAAGGAAGCTGTTGTATTAATAACTAAGAGATATTATTTGTATTAATTATTTTCTACTAACTGCTAGGGTCCTGTTCATGCTCTTGCATTCTCAAGAAGTGGGAGATACTTAGCTTCCTCTGGTAGGTAACTCTTATCACTTGACATAAATATTAACTTTTKGGTATTGGTAAGTATTTTTATGACAGATGAAAATTGATGTCATCCATACATTACAATTACACAGGTGTCGATCAACGTATACTAGTGTGGGACTTAGCYGAGGGCACGCTTACTACAGAGCTGAAAGGGCACAAAGACACCGTCTATTCWCTAAGTTTCTGTCGAGATGGAAACATTCTTGCTTCAGGTAGAATTTCATTGTCAGTAGAGCACTTTGTCATTTCTGATTGAATTATGGCTAGCATGTCTAACTGGGTATTTCTTTAGGGGGTGTTGACAACTGTGTTAAACTATGGAATGCTAAAGCTATTTGYAACCCAGAAGAAGATGAAGATGACTTAGTTGGAGGGTGGGTAAACCACAAAAAAACTTAATATATAATACTATATTAGAACGATTTCACATAACCGGATAAAAAATGCTTATGAGGATCAATTTATGCTAATACACATTACACGATGATAATGGCTTGTATCAAGTTGTTGTCCATGTTTGCAAAAACCAGATACAAAATGTTTTGATTTTTTTTCGCTTACGAAGTGTTTTTCCATAGTGTGCACGTTGGATGCTTGTAAAAGCAAACAAATGTTTTATTTGTACAATTTTTGCTACTTTTGTTSTCGTTTTGGACATGTTACAGATAAACAGAATTAACGTCAACACATCTGTACGTCAAATAAAAGTAAAGCGTTCATCAATATCCTTGTTTTTCCCCRTTTAATATCGTGTAATGTGTATTAGCATAAATTGATTCTCATTAGCATTTTTTATCCGGTTATGTGAAATCGTTCTATTATGGGGGGTTGGAAGATTTTAGTTTCTTCATCACCRTAAAAACAATTTAACTCATTGTTATGATAATACTTTATAAATTGTACTGTCTTTTAATTAAGTTTTTTTTATCTTGAATTTCAGGTTGGATAAATCTTCTATTTATCAGTTAGGCTCCTATCAAACAAAAAACACACCAATTCATTACCTGCACTTTACATTCAGAAACCTACTGCTTGCTACTGGGCAATTTAATTCAGCATGATAAAATTTCTATCAAAGTTTCCATGTAAAAATAATGTAAATACATTGTATATACTATGTCTTGAAAAAGGCCCAAATACAAATAAAGAAAGATTAATAGAYGTCTATAATGCTTAAATGTCATTTTGCAATACTTTATAAATTTGGAAACAAAATGAAGGTATTGTATTGGTCACATCATTGGTGATAAAGAAGCAAAGTTTAAAGAATACCGAATGGCTCTTGACAATTGACAAAGATATGATTTTTTTAAGTTTCATATTTTTTTGTGTTTATCATGAAAACAAGGCTTAATTAACAGGCATAGATTGGCAGATACAAGACATTTCTTTGTAAAAATACATAATTCTTTGCCAATTTAAGTTATATCTCAGTCTGTATCACTTGTGATATTTATCATTATTGATGTGACAAACTCACTACTGGGTTTCGCTTTCTTTGCTTTCTTTAAATTCAGTGTTCTAAAAGTCATTTATGGTATTCATCTATACCTGTATAGTTACAGATTATTAAACTGGGTAATTGTACATTATTTTTTTATATTTTAATCAAGTATTCACATATCCTATATCAGAAGTCTACTGAATAATAATAAGAAACAAAATTTTCAAATGTATAAAATTGAAACTTCTCTTAAGTTAATAAACTTGAACTACTTTTAGGAATTCATATCTTTAAAAAATTATGCTAACAAAAGATAAACAAATAAGTTTGAAAAAGGGTTTCAGTTTAAAAAAATTCAAATAGTAATGACTGCTTTATAACTGGTTATTAGTCTGTGGAATGAGTCCTAGTCGACTGTGTCTGTCAATGCTAAAGTTGCATTTACGAAGAAGGTTCAGTTTTGAAGGTTCAGTTTTGATTTTGATCTGTTTTGATTTGTTTTGCTGCTGGAGGCCCATCATCATCAAAGTGGATATGTTTTCCTTTTTCTTCTGGTTTTTCTGTTTTGACATCCTCCTCTCTGGGTCGTTTCTCTTTTGTAGAGTAACCTCCTCTGCCTCGACCACGTCCACCTCCTCGACCACCTCTTCCTCCTCCTCTGCCTCTTTTRCTTGAGCCTCTCTTATCACCTACAAATCAAATTGAAATTTTTACATTTTACTGAAATATCACTTCTGCTGTTCTACCTTACAATGCAACAAGCAGTAGTTTGTGTGTAGTGTCATTTAACAACAAATTCTTTAAATAATAAATCATACTTTAATGTGTACAATGTACCTTTCTTTTGTCGTTTTTGATTCATTTCTTCTTTAGCTTTTTCAAAATACTTTTTTTCTTCGTCTCCTGGCAAAATTAAATAATATTTTAAATCAATAATATTGAGCTATAATTCCATCTAACAACAATAAGCAGACAGATTCCTTTACACATGGAGATTATAAAATACCAAATGGAAAGATGTCTATACATACTGTACATTGCTCCTAAAATATATGACTGATTTGCATTCTGGGTAATACAAAWAATGCCTTAGTTACCTTCTAAAACAGAAGCTTCAGTTTCRACACCCCTTAWACATATTTTACCATCATTGGCTTTTTTAACAGCATCGRCAGCACGCTGAGCTSCCCCTTCATTTGCAAAACGAATATAACCCTACATGGTAATAAAAAATATCACGTTAGACATTCAATGTTAAATAGTAAACTAGATATATTTAGTTAAGATATGTGGGCAACAAAKAAACCAATTCTTAAATGTATGACAACATTAAGGTGAAAAACTGGATGAGTACTAGGAAAAAAAGTCCAATTTTTTGAAATTTGTGTTCCTTGCAGGTGCCTTGTTACTAGTCTGACTCTCTTACAAATCTAAAACAGGAAGCCCATTATTTTTAGAGGAGAAAGAGTACCTCTGTGTCTTCTCTTGCAAAGTCGACCCAATCAATTTCCTCATGGGCACCAAACAATTCCTGAGGAAACCACAAAAGAAAAGTCATTGAATTTACAACGAATATTTTACTTTGACTAATGTTTTAACAAGTACCTTAAGATCTTCCCTTGATGTCTGTTCACCCACACCTTTGAAATGAAGTACTGAACCAGAGGGGAAAGTTATCTCTTCCTGGAAAAACATACAACAATCATTGGCAAATTATTTTAGTATCATTATTTCCTCAGATTTAATT